TGTTGTGTGTCAGTCGGAAAAAAGGGAGACGCACCCATCAATTGCTCCTTGTCACCTGGGGAGGAAGGTTTAATTTAAGGAGAACCACAAGGCCCTGTTTCCCAGGCTGGGCCCTGCCCCAGTAGCAGCCTTAAATTCCTGCTGGTGTCTCCTGGGTGGTGGGGACCATAACAGCAACAGCAGCATTAATAGTAACAACATTGTTTGCTGAGCACTCTCATTTCATTATGTTGACAGCATCCCAGGGTAGGTGTTATTAAGCCTGTTTTACAGATGAGGAAACGAAGGCACAGAAAGGTGAGTGGCTTGCCCAAGATCACACAATTAGTCAAGGCATGGAGCTGGGAATTCTGATTCCAGAGGCCCTGTTTGTTCCCGCTAAGCTGACCAGCCTCAGGAACTCACACGTCGGCCTCTGCAGGTTCCAGCTGGCTGCTTTGTCTGTGTCATGGCACAGAACTTCCATAACCACCTCTGATGTGGGGCTGCTATCTCAGAGATGGGGGAACAGGAGCACAGAGTGGTACAGCAACCCACCCAATGTCACATATATAGCAAGTGGCAGAGCCAGGAATCAGTCCCAAGCAGTTGAAACTCTGTAGAGTCCTGAATCTGAACTGCCATGCTAGGAACAGTCCCGGCTCCAGGGCATGTGGCCAGCCACTGCTTGAGGAGTAGGGCTCCAAGGGACAAGAGAGGCCATCTTTCCTTTTGGGAATTGTCCACTCTCCAAACCTTTGCTTCCTGGGAGTCCCCTCTGACCTGGCCAGAGGGAAGAGAAAGGTCCTATGATAAATGCTTTGGCAGATGGGGAGCTGTGGGCAAGAACAGAGGAGCCTGACCTGGCTCCAACCATCTGCTCTGAGGGGCTCTAGCTGCCTGGAACCCATGTCCTCCAGTCTGGGGTCTCTAGACAAGGAGGGGTCTTAGAGACCCCTTAATTTATAGCAACAGCAGCAACAATAATAACATGGCTCTCGTTTCTTGAGCACTTCCTAATCACCAGGTGTTGCCCCAAGAGCTTCGCGCATATGCCTCACTTCATCCTGGAAACAAGGGCTGTGACTGCTCCCACTTTACAGAGGAGTAAACAGAAGCACAGAGAGGGTTAACGACTCACCTCTCCAATTAGCTAAGGAAGGGGCCAAAGGTTGCTCTAGAATCTTGCTCTCTTTACCTTAGACCCATTGCTGCTGGGTAAACTGAGGCCCCTGGTCTCCCACCACTTGAATGGAAGAGATAGGACCCAAACCCCCAGGTGCCAATGATCATAAAGGAGTGATGAGGGGGCCCCCCACACCCTGGACAGTTCTTTTGCCTCCCAAGGCCTCAGTTTCCCCATCTGTAAGACAGGGTGTTAACAGTACCTGCCTCAGAGGAGCAGTTTGAGGATGAAGTGAGTTAACACATATAAAGTAAGAGCTCAGGAAAGCCGGCTGTCATGGTTTTAAAAGTAACTGGCATGGATGGGTTGCAGGGCATGTGAATTCTTCCTGCAGCATGATGAGGTGACTGGTACGCTCTTCTCAGTTTACAGACCAGCTCACTGAGGCATGGGGTTAAGGAGATGGGCTGAGGTTCCCGAGTGGGGAATGTGGGCGGTGGGTGCAGGTGGTGGTGCCCAGCAAAGCCCCATGGGGACATGGCCGGTCACCCCCCCAACCCTGCCAGAGAGGACAGCCAGGACTGAATGTCCAGTGTTCACCTGCTGGGGCCATCACCAGTGTCTGAGCATCCTGTCAACACACTTCCTGGCCTTAGCCAGGGCTGGCCAGCCTGGTGGGGACTGGACGTTTTGCCTTGGACACTTTAGGGTGCCCCCCTGGTTGCAAGTGGGGTCTGCTCAACAATGACTTTCTCTGTTTAAAGATGAAGGGGCCCCCTTCATGTTTCACAGACCAAAAATTTAACAATGATGATAAACGCTTGCATGGCCCTTACATTGTGCCAAGATTGTTCTGAATGCTGTATCCATTCACCTAATCCTCTCGCAACCATGTGGAGCAGGAAACAGTCAACCCATTCTGTAGATGGGAAAACTGAGCTGGGAGGCAAAGTTACACAGCTGGTGAGAAGCAGGACTGGGTCTTGAATCTGGGCAAGTGGGCCCAGAGGCTACACCATAACCCCCCGCCCTATGGGGTGGGTAATTTAATTATTTTATTATGCGTTTATTATTGGGGAAATTGAGGTTTCGTGTGTGTGTGTCTTCCCCAAGGCCACCCAGCCAGGAAGGAATAAAGCCAAGATTCGAACACAAGCTTTCCAGCCACAAAAGCTGTGGAAGTTGCCATGACAACATCAGTCTCACCATGATCTCTTTGAGACCCTTGCCTACTCCCTGCTGAACACCACTCTCTGGGGCCCAGCCAGCCTCTCTCTAGTAAGTCCCCTCCCTATCAGCTCTCCTGGCCACTTCACACATTCATCTCAGGCCTATGCCTGTGTGTATGACTTTTGATGGAGGGTGACCAGGCCTTGGTATCCCCATCTGAGAAACGGACTTGCAGCCCCTGTCTTGCAGCCTCACAGGGCTGGGGGAAGATGGGAATCTCCATGTAGGCTCATGTGCCACTCTAGACTCCCAGACCCCTCCACAGCCCTGCCTAATCCTCTTGGGCCAATCTTGGACATCTTCATGGGGCTGCCAGGGCTCTGTGGGGACCCCTGCACAGCCTTACCCCCTGGACTTGGAAACTCACCTGGCCCTTATGGGATGTAGTAAGAGGCCCTTCCCATCTTCCAACACCCTTGTCTGCAGAACCTGCTCCCCACTTCAGCTCCTTCTCTTCCCTTTGAACTGTCTGTCTTGCTGTGGAAGAAGCTATTCATAGCCAAGATGATGCAAAATTTATAAAGTGTGGCTGGTCGGGCTGAATCCACCCCTGGCATAGGCCACACCACCCGCCCCTCCTCCCACTCCGGGCAGCTCTTCTTGTGTGTGCGCATGTGCACATGTATGTGTGTGAGGACCGGCTCTCTCCTCTGCCCTCTCCCTCCATCTCCTTTCTTCCTGGCCTCCCCTCGACCTGCCTACCAGCCTGAGTTTCCACTCCTGAGGGTACCTGGGCTTAGCCCAGTCAGTCTGTTTAGGATGGAGGGGCCATGGCCTGTGGCATCACATTTTAGCCAGCTGCACTCATGACCCTTCTGATCCTTCACCTGAAGAAAGGGTTCTTGTAGGAATCAGACACAATGAGAATTCACTCTGTAGAGCCAGGCCCTGCTCTAATAGACTCATTCAGTCCTCACAACACCCTACAAAGTAATTGCAATTATTATCCATATTTTATAGATGAGGAAGCTGAGGTACAGAGAGGCCAGCTGAAGCAACCAGGTCCTGAGGGGTGGGAGGCTAGGAAGTGGTGGAGCTGGGATTTGCAGACTCCACTGTCGCTTCATCGCCACTGCTGATCCAGTGCACAACACTGCCTCCCTCTCCAGCATGCCAATTGACTGCCTTCCCTTGGAGATCCCAGAAGCAGAAAGGCTCTGCGACTAGAAGCATCATAGAAGATCGATGTCCATCCCCTTCCCAGATGGGTGGGCGAAGCTCAGGGAAGAGACAAAAGGACACAAAAAGACAGCCACTCTTGCTCAGCCCTCGGCCACTGGGGTGGGAGCCATTGCCCCAGATGTGGTCTAGGACAGCTCAGGAGCCTCAGCCTGTCTGGGCAGCCAGGCTTACCATCTAGACCTCCTGCAGATCCCGTGGCCCCTGTTGGTGGTGGCTTTAGGTTCTTCAAGAGAAGAAGATTGATAATGCATGGTACGTCAGTGAGGCAGGCCTGCTTCTGGCACTCTCACACACTCACTCACTCAGCCTTAGCAGCTCCAGAGCAGGCACTCTTCTTATCCCCACTCCATAGATGGAGAAATCAGGGTTCAGAGAAGTGAAGGGATGTGCCCAAGATCACACAGCTAGCAGGTGGCTGAGGAGGCAGTTGCACCCAGGCAGTCTGGCTTACTATATGTCAGTGGCTGTTTTTGCCATGGTCCTGCTGTGTCCAGGGCGGTTAATACCCCTTTTGATTGGGGTAAAATTTGCATAATATAAAATTACTCATTTTATTATTTATTTATTTATTTATTTATAAAGATTTTTATTGGGGAATTGGGGGATGGGAACAGCGCTGGGGAATTGGGGGAAGGGGAACAGACAAGTTGCTGTCCTTTAGTTCCTCAGTCTAGTTGTGGAGGACGTTGTTTCACTGGCCCAAGTTGGCACCATCATTGCGCTCTTCCCCGGGTGAGACAGATCAGTCGCCGGCTTCTGGACAGACGCTCACGGCGGCTGCTGGCCGCTCACGCTGGCTGCTGGCTACACACGGTAGCCCATGGCAACCCACTGCAGCAGGGGCAGCAGCCTACACCGTCACCAGCGACTCACAGCAGCCCAGCTCCAGGTTGAGCTGTTGTCCAGCATCTTAGCTGTAGAGGGCAGTGTCACTGGCCCTCATATGTGGGATCTGAACTGGGGCCCTCTGGCGTCCCAAGCCAGCTCTTAACCAACGCACCACTCGGCCAGCCCCAAATTACTCATTTTAAAGTGTACAGTTCAGTGGCATCAAATACATTTGCAGTGTTGTGTAAACATCTCCACTCTTTGGTTCCAGAACATTTTCATCACCCCAAAAGAACACCCCGCACTCATTTGCAGTCTCTCCCCATTCCCCTCCCCCACTAGCCCATGACAACCTCTAGGCTTCTTTCTGTTTTTGTGAATTTGCCTATTCTGAACATTCCATATAAGTGGAATCATACAGTATTTGGCTTTTTGTGTCTCAGTTATTTCACTGGGCAGGATGTCCTCAAGGTTCATCCATGTTGTCACGTGTGTCATAATATTATTACTTGGCTTTTTATGGCCAAGTAATGTTCCATGTGCGGATGGACCCCATCTGTTTATCCATCATCTGTGGATGCACACCGGGTTGTTCTGCCTTTGGCCATTATAAATAGTGCAGTTATCGGGGGAGGCTGGATAGGAATGGCCCAAGGAGCTCCTACCGCCCTTCGCTCCCTCGCCGACATCATGCTCCAGTTCCTGCTTGGATTTACTTTTGGCAACCTGGTTGGAATGTATCTGGCTCAGAATTATGACATACCAAACCTGGCTAAAAAACTTGAAGACATTAAAAAGGACTTGGATGCCAAGAAGAAACCCCCTAGTCCATGATGTCAACTCCAGCACTGCCTCCAGGACCCTCGTAGACTGAGTCTGCTCTTCTTGAGGTCCTTCTTTACCATCCAAACCAAAAGCTTTTGTCTTTTTTTCCAGTCTCAACTAGACCCTGCGTTGCCTTAGACACAGATGGGGCCACAAGTTCAGAACCATCCTGACTTTTCTGACACTCTCTCCACTTCCCTTCCTCCTGCCAGCCGCTTAGGAGGTCCTAAGACTGGAATTATGGTGCTAGATTAGTAAACATGACCTTTCATTAGCAGTCTCTCCCTTAAAAAATAAATAGTGCAGTTATCAATGTTCATGCACTAGTTTTATGTAAACACCGGTTTCAGTTCTTTTGGCAGAGAGTTTGAAGGAGATTTACCAGGTCATATATGGTCCCTGGTGTTTTAAGGATTTGTTTTCTTGCTGGTGAGGCCTTGGTAATAGTCCCCATAATTAGCACCTCTTCTTTGCTCGGCTGGAAGCAGTCTCCTCCCCTCTGCTTCCCTCACTGATCTGACCTGCACGTGTCTTCTTTTCTGGGCATGAGTCCTCTGTCTGCTTCCCCCAAGGCTACACTTTGCCCCTTCCCTCCCTTATTACTGGGGGATCTGGCCCAGGGCTCTGAGGGGCCAGGCCACAGATAGGGAAATCAAGGCCCACAGGAGAAAGGGCTCTGGCCCAGCGAGAAGGAGCTGAGATGGGATGTGAGCTGAGGCTCATGGGACCTTGCATGGTTCCTTGCACCATTTCTGCCTGTCTCATATGGAACATTACCCATGGAGCAAGCCAAACAACAGGGCACTCATATCCTGTCTTCTTGGGGCTTCAGCTTTCCTCAAAGATGTTTGGCAGGATGTGACACTTTTTTGTGAAAACAAACCCCAGCTAGATTCAGCATCAGAATGGTAACCTCACATGAATTTTTCACCCTCAGTCAGAGGTGTTCAAGAGATGTCCTGGCTTGCATGGGCATGGATATGCCAGGGACTCCTCTGCAGCTCCCAGATGTACAATGGTGGAGATGTGATTGAAACCCCCAGACAGCCTCCTCGGGGCATGCATTTGGGAGGGGTCTTTGCTGTCCCCCTGCTCTCCCAAAGACGGGCAGCAACATCCTGCTCCTACACGGCTGCCTCTCTGAAGCCCCAAGGCGGCAGGGAAATGAACCCGCCTATGCAAGAGCACCGCCTTTCTGCAGCTAGCTCTGGCATTGATTGGGACTGTGGCATGTCTTTTCCTTCCTTCAGGGACCCTGGCTCCACTCAGTTGGCAGCCCTCAGCCCATCCCCCCTTCTAAGCAGCAGTGGACACTTCATAAAGATTGAACAGATCCATGGATATGACCCCCTTGGGCTCCCACAAGTGCTCCTGAAACAGTGGTGTTTGCCATTCCCCTCACTGTGCAGGTGAGGAAACTGAGGCTTCCAGTGGAACCGGGCTTATCCAAAGTTACCCACTGAGGTTGTGGGGTTTGGTATGGGTCAAGAACCAGCTCCTCTGACTCCTGCCCCAGGCATAAGTTGGCCTCCTTTCAGTAGCTCTGGGCCCGATGCCAACGCGTTCTCGGGTCCTGGACCCTCGGTGTCCCTTTGGCCATGAGCACCGGCCCCCAAGTCAGTCCCCTCTGAGTGCCTCAGGATTCTGGGGAGGACACTGTTGACTGCGTGTCTACCCTATGCTAGGTGGCCCTTGTGCATTCAGGGATGCCTGAGACAGGGACCCTGAACTAATGGAGCAGATGTTCTCATCAGGGAAATAGACTACTATACTAAAATGCTAGGTGCTATGAAGAAAAAGAATGCAGGGAAATGGAAAGGAAAAGGTCAGGGAAGATCTCTTGGAGGAGATAACATTTGAGCAGACACCTGAATAAAATGAGGGAGTAAGCCATGAGATGTCTGGAAGAAGAAATTTCCAGGCAGAAGAGCAGCAAGTGCAAAGGCCCTGAGCTCTGAACGTGCTTAGCGCATTTGAGGAAGTTGCCTAAGAACTGGCAGGGATCACAGACCTGGTCCAGCCTGAAGACACATTCAGCTTGGCCTTCATAGAATTAGCTCTCATGATGGCTTCAAAATTTTGAATTAGCGGCTAGCATTTTAAAATCCGAGATTTTTTTTAACCCATTAAAAATGCAGATTTCCAGCCTCCCTTAAGAAATCAAAGCTCTGACAACAGCAAGTCCTCATTTTAGGAATCCGGAGTCAGACAGCATCCACTCCTTTGCATCATTTTTCTTCTCACTAGCCCGAGTCCTGCAGGATTGGCATTGGGGGTCCCTAGCCAGGGTCATTTGTGCATACCACAGGATAGGGACACAGATCACTTGGGCATCATTACAGACTTTGCTTCTCTATATTTTATCTGGAAAAAAAAACTGGTAACTGAAGCATTGCAGCACTGCTGCCACCAAATAAGGCAGGACTGAGAGGTCACACAATGTTTTTTTCCTAGTTCTCTCCAGTTCCCGGCAGTTCACAGCAATTTTTCCGCCTCTGGAACGTTAGGGAGTACACTTGCCTTTTACTGTGTCTGTGCTGCCCCTAATGGTAAAATCTTAGGCAGGTTACCTTGTCACTCAGTGAAGGCATTCCACTTCTCTGTGCCTCAGTTTCCTTGTCTGAAATATGGAGGGAAATAAACACTGACCTGTCTATCTCAGGACAGAAATGGGAGAAGTCAGGGTCTTTGATGGTTTAGGGTCAACATCTTATATATTTTCAACATAGGGTCAAAGAGAGAAGATTTGGGGACATGTCAGCCTTTAGGATTAAGCCAAAGCCAACCTGGCATTCAGGGCCCAGAGATCTGGGATCAAATACACCCTGTATGCTTCCTTTCCTTCCTCCCTTCCAGCCTGGCCTTCACCTTGCATTCATTATTCAGCCCGTATCTTTGAGCACCTGTTGTGTGTCAGGGCCCTGATGGAAGTCTAGCTGTGGCCCCCACTCTCACCCACCTGGAGCTTGGCAGGTGGGAAGAGGGTGTGTGCTCCCTCCCTCTCTACCTTGGATGGCATCTCCAGCAGCAGCTGCACCTTTTCCATGGCCTCAGGTGGGGCAGTTTCCTACTGACGTTGATCACTGGTGCTCACCCCTTGCCCTCACCATCCCTAGAATCAGTTCTCTCTGAGAGACCTGGAAGGGCTCTGTTTCCTGGCTGGATCCTGCCCACTTCACCTGGTCCACATCCTGGCCACACAAACTAGAACAGAGTGTTTCTGGGTCGCTTTCCTCACCAGAATTGTGAGTGTACTGAGGATGTGGAATGGCTGCTTCCTTCCCGGGTTGGCAGAGTCCAGGAATGACATGAAGTAACACTTACATGTAGTAACCATTTCCATCTCACAATTACCCCATGAGTCGGGAACTCTATAAGCCCTTGCTGCGTTTTAACAGGTAGGTAAACTGAGGCACATGCTCTTAGCCCAGGCTCACTATACTGCCTGCACAGCTGGGCGTGGAGGAGGCACTGGCATAGGCTTTCTTGGATGGATGGATGGATGGATGAGAGAAGCAGGACTCTGTGTGTGTATGGAGGATGGGAGCCAGGCTCAAGTCCCAGTCTTGCTGGGGATTTGCACACCATTGTCTGGCCCCTGATCCGTGGCAGAGCATCCTGTACATCCCATGTTAAGCTGGAACCTTTGGCTTGGGACAGAGACCAGAATTGGGACAGCAGCCAGAGAATTGAGCCAGGTGGATGGGCTCAAGGCTTGTCCACCCAGCCCCCACCCTGGGCAGCCGGGGCCCAGTGACAGGCATGAGCTGGTCCCATAGTGAGATGGTGACAGGACTGGGATGGGGGCCCAGGTCTCCACCTCTTTTCCACCCACCCTGCTGGAAAAGGCTTGTTTCTGTCCCAAGAATAAAGATCCTTACCCCTCAGACTGTCAGCCTCTGCCACTGCCCCAGCCCAGACCCCCTTCGCCCTTGCTCCACTGTGGCCTTCTCCCCTCCTTGAATACTCCAACCTTCTTCCAGCAACAGGCTTTTGCCCTTGTTCTTACCCCAGCTTGGGAAACACCTCTCCGAGCTCCTACTCAAGCTTTAGGTTTCAGGACAGATGTCACCTCCCTGAGGAGGCCCTCCCTGATCCCTCTGTGTGCTTTAGGCACTCACATTTGGGGGCTCACCCTTCAGCATTCTTATCACTGAATGTGATTATACACCTGCATCCCCCCAAGAGCCAAGGGGCTGGGGTCAGTCCCCCTTATTCATCACAGTGCATGGCCCAGGGGCCCTGGCATACAGCAGCTACTCAATAAGTATTGAGGAATGAATGAAACCTACCAGGTACTAGGCACTGTTACGAACAGCTCCTAAGTGCTCTAATTAATTCCATTTTACAGATGAGGTGACTGAGGCTCAGGGAGGCTCACAGACCTGCCTAAGGAAGCACAGCAGGGAAGTGGTAGAAGTCAAGGGTGGAGCTGCTGCGTTGCCATGAAAATATCCATGGGCCACTGAAAGGGGAGGCCGAGAATGAAGAATGTGGTGGTTTGGGGCCCAACTCTCAGGCCTGGAGGGCTGGGTTTTCTTTCCTTCTATCCTGTTGGCATCTTCCATCTGGTGATCTCATCTCAGTGCTAGAGCCCTGCATGATGGAGCAGAGAGGGGCCTTCAACTGTCTTATCATTTGAGGGGTGACCCCACCTTGCAGAGGGGAGAACCCAGGTTCCAGGAAGACATCTGACTGTCCCAAGGGTGACAAGTGAGAAGGTCAGGGCTGCAGATACCAGCTAAGAGGGCTTGAGCTGTGAAGAGACCTCGGATGACGTCACATCTGATGATGTCATTTCAGGTCATTTCTGGAGTGGGTGGAGCCAGGGCAAGTTCATTTGGAAGAGCCAGCCCCCACACCCTGCTCTGAGCATGGCCCCCAAGCCTGGGCCTGGCCTCCTGGAGGCCTCTCAGTGTCACCCCATGTGTGCAGGGCACATCCTGCCCAAGAAGATGGGCCTGCATGTTCTGAGGTCCCAGCAGACATCCCTTCAGGTCCTAGTGTCTAGAACTGGAGCACATGCCCACCTAGCAGCAAAAGGGGCACTGGGAGGGAGATTCGTGACCCTCCAGTCTCTGGGACAG